CACAGAACTAAGTAGTTATTTGGGTAGGTACTAGTACTGAAACATACTACGGTACTAGTTAGTTTATTTCAAGATTGAAATAATAAGAATTGTTTGTTCCATTGCTCGAAATTGTGTTATGCTCTCCAATAAAAGAAAATGAATCAATCCGCCTGGAAATTAATAACCACTTCATTAGAAGTGTTTTACGCTTTCATCGTAAAGTGTAGAATAATTGAATGAGTCCTTAATCTTGGGCAAATGTTTGATTTCACGATCTGGACTGTGGTTTTACTGCAGATAATTCGTTTTAAGAAAGTCAAGGCGTCTCTGCCTGGCACCCACGCTCCGGATAGAGGTCACTCAAGGACTTGCTATCCACTTCTCATTTACATCTGTACTACTTCCACTTGCGAGACTAATACACTTCTACTATAAACTTAGTTTTGTATAGATTTCTCAATTTCATAATTTATGTATAGACGTCCTTCATTATTTTATGTGAACGTAGGCATCATGAATAGGAAAATAAATAAATTTTAAAACTGAGATACTCTCTTTTTATTAAAATTTATTGTACGAATTAATCAAGCCTTAAAAAAGCAGGAAAACGGAGAATGACTTTTGACCTCTTTTGAAGTTTATTTGTCGACGGTGTTACTAAGCCCATTTCCACTCAGTGATTTCATTTCAGTTTATAAAATATTTTGTGAAATATTTATCAGCGTTAAAGTTCATAGCGTTGAATTTATAGCGTGATTGTTATAGATTGTTGGAATATTCGCCTTGTTCTATATTAAATATTTCCCTACCATGCTGTTTTAAATAATAAATATATCCGATAAAACTTAACTTTATAATATAATGGAAGCAGAGACATTTAACTGGCGAATGACGATCTCGGTGGCTGAGTGGTTTATATGGCGGGTTTCAAGATGTCGCCTACTCGAGAGGTCCCGGGTCCAAATTCCGGTGGGGGCAGATGTTTCTGTGATGAATACGAGTATTTTTACTCCAGTCATGAGCGTTGCTGGTAACTCCCCTTTGTCGCCCTGTGGCGATAGTGACGCGGGGGGCAAGGCGGCTCATGCTGCATGCTATTAAGTAGTTAAATATCTTGTGATATATATTTTTTTTCTACCTACCTACATTTAGAATCATGTTATAAGTGAACAATTTCTAAGTGTGTTTATCTTAAAATTATAATTTAAATAAGTTATACTAATTTATGATATAATATTTATAGTGTGTATGTATGTATACTTATATAGGCAACTAATTAGTCTAGTATTAGTATTTTTCAACATAAATAATTTAAGTAATACTCAATGTATTTATGGTTGTCAAAATTTATTAAATAAACGCTTTTGAAATGAAAAGAAAAGGAAAAAATATGTATTCCTATATAAATATACTTATATATACATATCTCAGTATATATATTCTATCCGTTGCTCTAATATCCCATAACACAAGCCTACATTGTTTACTTTCAGGCTAGGCTAATTAGTGTGAGTGTTGGAAATGTTTATTTATTTAAAAACTATACTATGAAAATCTATTTTATTCTTCCTCAATTTTATTAAGAAATACTTACTTATAATGCGCCAGTAAATTGTCATAAGTCACTTTCGGAAACTATAGTAGATGGTCTGCTAACTATATAAAGACTCACGTTTTGTTAAACGAATGAATAAATTGATGTTTCTGGGTGATCTGCCGCGTCGAAAAGCTTGAGCGACACCGAACACACCAGGTAGAGTGATAGAAACCTCATTTCGATCCCGTGTGGTCTAAACATTACATAGAACCTTTCTCTAAGCTCTAAAAAGAGCTGAAAAATCTTGCGTGATATTTTGAAAGATGCGAATCTATAATAGGCAAACGGCTTATACGTAAATCACGAGTTAGTTAAAGTCTTTGCTGATTCCCCAAAAATTTACTTTTTTTTGTGTGTTCACATATTCATTCTAAATATAGCAAGACATGAGATCACGCTAATATAACTTGAATGATTTATCAATAATATAGACGTCAATAAAATAAAAGAACACATCTTAAAACAACATACATTTGTTGGGAATATCAGCTTTTCTGTTACCTTATAAAATAAACTTGGCCTTGCTAGGTAGCAACAACAACAACAACATGAGTTCACAAACTCAGCTATTAAATAATAACTAAATAGATGGTGTGGGAGGTCGGGAAATTTAAAGCGAGTGTGCCGACGTTTGCATAGCATATGAACAGTGCATAACACTAATATTAGAACTACCGAATCGTTATTTACTTTGTTGAAAGTGTTTGTTTAAAGCTCTGCATTGAAAATTGTGTACTATAGAATTAGGCTTGCGATTAGAGCGGTATTTGACACTACACCTTTAATTATTACGTTACTGTCAATAATATTTCATGCAAACATAAATTAGCTGTAACAACATATAACGCCGTAATTGTAAACCTAACTGAGTCCATTAAGAGAAGAGAGGACTCTTTTGCGCAACAAACTGCTTGGTTATGGTAATTTAATTTTATGGCCTCTAATTAAAATGCAGAGAGCTTTTTCCTAATAGAATATCTGATTACATACTCTCCAATGGACACTTATTGTGGTAGTCGTAATTTTATTAATACGGTTAACGATTGACACACTATAGCTAACGAAGAATCCGAAATAAAAGTTTTACACTAACACTACGAGAAAAACGTAAATTAAGACACTTTTATCCATTCTTAACATCGACAACCAGTAAGATATCCAGAGGTAAAATCGTGTGATAGCCTCATACAAAATATTGAACGTAATATAAAAAAGATGTGTGAAAAAAGCTTTGCGAACCTATCATAGTAATGCCTGAGTAATAATTCACTCTCGCGCCAAATTGGCTTACATAATGTTCAATATTGGCATTATATTTTCAAACAGGTTTCGCTCCCAACTCCATCTGCACGTTGAATTTACTGTATTTTTTTTTCTCCTCCCTTGCTTTGTCACGTTAAGGTGCGTCATCGCTAGAATCTTTTATAATGGCTCTTTGGAATATTTTGTTAAGTATTGTAAACATGTACCTATTTTCGTACCCGAAATGTAGTAGTCCGAAGTAAAGCATCTTTTAAAAAACAACTTTTAGGGCTGTTGATTGATTGGTAATATACAAACAAAAATGAAATACATACACATGCATACATATATACACACAAAAACACACATCCATACACACAAACACACGCACACATGTACAATGGCGTGCGCGCATTACACACATCTCGCCCTGGTTCGGTGGAGGGTTTTCTAAACTTTTATGCTATAACTAAAAAATGAAAATCCGTAATTGGCATTAAGATAAACTATATTGTAAAACCTGTATTATATTAAGAAAATGCTGTGGATTTTGGTTTAGAATTAAATAAATAAATATAATTTGGTATTGAAAAAAGTTAATCTTATGGCGACACTAATCCCAATTAAAATCTTATTTAAACATAAAATTCTATCTCTTTAGTCTTTCACCAACTACTAATCACGATTAAGCTAGCTGTCAAAGTAAGTTTGTGAAGTGTGTCTGATTAACGGCGTTAATCGCGATTTGGAACTGTCATCGCGTCGAATAAACTTTCATTTTGACAGTTTGGCGAGAATATTTCCAAAAGTTATTGTTAGTAAAACATTATTCCATCTTTTTCAATTGTTTAAAGTCGAAAAGAGATAGAATGAGTCTAAAACATGTCTTAAACATGATTAGATTTGAAGAAATTTGGTTCAATTGGGCCTATATCATACTACTATCATTAATAAAATACTTCCGATGTTGGAGTTTAGATCCAACAACATTTTAACTAAGAATACGATATAAAAGACAACGGATTTTGGAGAATAGCAATAGCCATTGGCGATTAGTCGGACATCAATGGAGACAAAGAAAAATATCCACTAACGACACATACTTACGTTAAGAGTGCGGAACTTTTGTGAAACGAAGCAGTATTTGGGGAACCGCACCTACGCAACTTTCTAAAAGATTGGACAACTGCCTAGCCATGAATTGCCAAATGGGGACCCATTTCAATTAATGTTTTTTCTTATTATACCAAACTACTAATGACACCTCTACGTTTATAGTGCGAATAGTGTTAGTTTCAGACGTATCAAGTATAAGTTGACAATTTGTTTTTCTATGAAATAGTTATGTAATAATATGGGTCAGACGAATATCCTTCAGTGTGAATTCGCCAAATTGATAAATAGATATCGCAGAGTTATCGAAAATACTGTTATTTAAATATATGTGTCTGCATTAAATACCTTATTAAATAATACTTACCTCATAAAGCTATGATAACTAAGAACCTATTCGTAATATGATATAAGTGAATACGTATAGAAACTAGTATTAAATTTATGTTTTTTAAAGAAAACTTAATTGACGAGTTTTGTCTTTTATATATATATATACATATATATATATATATTATATCAAGTAACAGAGACTCATATTATACTTAATACGTTAATTAGATTTTAAGGCTGTAATTCCGTCAATATGTATTTTAAATAAATATACTTATACATGTATCAATAGTAAGATATTTATAACTAAAAACCTTATAATAACTAAAATACACTATTAAAAGAGTCCCGTCCCTTTGAATAGCTAGACTAATTCTTTGTCCGAGGTAACTGCCTCTTCGGTCTCCTGTGATGTCGACTAACCTTTTTGCCATTTCCTTAAAAAGCCTTACAGCGCTAGGACCCCACGGACCAAGGGTCTCGACACCGAATGAGACAAAATCATATTCGAAGCCTAGACCCTGTATTTGCATGCCTTAGCTTTTTCAGCCGCTTCGCAAGCCGCACCAGCTCTGTTGTTGGTTCCATGCAGATGGGAAAGGGCCAGCGTGTCTGAACAGGTTGCATCGTCTCTTGCAATACCAGTCGGCTCAAGTAGACTTGGCACGTTGGCAGTGGCAAGAGACCGGCGTATGATATCGTTAAGTAGGGATAAATTCCCCTCCCCTCTGGATCTCGGTAACGAGCAGACGTGTGCCAAATCTACGTAATTTATAAAATAAAATAATATTATTAAATTAATCTAAAAAAATAAAGGCAAATAAAATAGGAGTGCATAACAAGCGAAGAGATTTAAGTTTGTTCCTCAAGTCTCAAGTCCATCTACGCGCTAACGCAGTTTCACCAAAGCATGCATGGGTGAGAGAGACAAATCTACTTTTAAAGTAATCTGAATCGAGTACCAGGGCGGCAGAATCAACAACAAGTATTTTTGCAAACCGATACACAAGCGGTATTTCGACGTTGCCAACATCAATCGCTGTGGTACAGACGATTTGTGTTACACCTTTACACAGCGAATCCCGAGTTCGAATCCAGCAGACTGAAAATCTTTTGCTTATTGTTTTTGATTTATTCTTCATAAGTGTCCGTTGAAATACTCTGCACAATGCCCCTAAACCGATCACCACCTCCGCGTTCTTCATCTACATCGACACTATCCTTGTGTCAAAATGAAAGAATTATAACACAAGATTCAGACACTGCCTCTGAAATAATGCAATCCGACGTGGAAAAGGGCTGTCCTAATACAGCGAGAAGACCTAAGAGAAAACATGGTGATGTAGCTAATGCAGAGCTAAAGGAGCTTCTATGTGACATCCAGAGGAAACAGGAGGAGGAATTTCGTTTCATAAAGCAGGACATGGAAGCCATTAAGCAACAAAATATCGAGTCCCAAAGAGAATCCGAAAAATCATTAGAGTTCCTTTCAAATATGTATGATGCCTTATTGCAGAAGTTTGAGGCAGTGGTTAAGGAAAATTCTGTTCACAGAAAAAACATTCATTTATTAGAAGCTAAGGTGGAGCAATTGGAGCGTAATATTAAATCGTCATCCATCGAAGTTCGAAATATTCCATTAAGTAAATCGGAAACTAAACAGGATCTGAAAACTCACATCATATGCCTAGGCGAAGCAATAAATCAACCTATACAGGATGGGGAGATTAGATATATCTTCAGGGTAAAGACAAAAAAAGAACCAGGACCTGTTATAGTAGAATTTACCACAATATTAAGAAAGGAAAATTTCATTAAGTCTGTGATTGGTTTTAATAAAGACAAGACAAAGGCAGAGAAACTAAACACTGCACATCTCAAAATCCATGGAAATCCCAATCCGGTTTATGTGACGGATAATCTTACTACCAAAACTAGACGTCTATACTATTTGACCCGGGAGTTTACGAAAGCCCATCCTCAGGCTAGCTGCTGGATAACATTTGGGAAAATCTATATAAGGATAGGAGAAGGACTACCAAGCATACACATCAGTACTGAAGAGGACCTAGCCAAATTAAAAACTCAAAAATGACTAGATTATTTCCATTTAATCGGTTTCATTTTATTTAAACAAAATTATTGTGCATCACTTTCACATACAATTATAATAAATTCATACAATTTCAAAATTACATTATACACTTACAGTTACATAAATACATTGCCATCTTACATTTTATATCTTTTAATACGTATACACTTTGATCTGCTTTGCAAAAAAATCAACAAAAACGGGGACCGTATTCTGTTTAGGGAAGTTATAATATTAATATTTATTAAAGTTTATCACATTACTGCATTGCTGGCACCATGGTTCATATGTTTTTAAAAGTGACAAACATAAATAATTTTATAAACGATTTAGACAGCTTTAATGTATCCGTGCCAGTACACTGTGATCCAGAAGAATGTAATACTCATCTTTCAAAGCCGGGTTTATATCTGAAAGTACTCCAACAAAATATAAGAAGTATTAACCGCAATTTTAGCGAGCTCCAAATGTTACTTGCTCGACTTAAAATGGACTGTGACATCCTAGTTTTATCGGAATGCTGGCTTACTGATGATTCTATGATACCGAATATGAATGGTTATAACAGTTTCGGAAGTAAACAGAACTACAATCAAAACGACGGTGTAGTCATATATATAAAAAAAACAGCTCAACTTTACAATTGAGGAACCAATCTTCTCGGAGGCAAATTGTCTAGTTATTAAAATCGGTACTGACACGGTTGTAATTGCTATTTATAGACCCCCAAGTTTCAGAAATCTGGATTCGTTTCTAAACGCGTTAAATCATCTTTTAGCTAGCTTATCGAAATTTAAAAACATCGTTTTAGTCGGCGACATAAATATTAATCTAATAAAACAACCAGAGAGCTCAGCCTACCTTGACGTTACATCATTTCACGGACTAATACCGGCAACAAACAGTCCAACAAGGGGTAAAAGTTGTTTAGACCATGTTATCATAAAAACAAAACTACCCAGCTTCACATTTCTTTTAGGCACAACTATAACAGACCATGAAGCTGTATTATTTTGCCTTAAAACAAATGGTTCTAACATTAATCACACGAAATTTTTGGTCTATAGATATAATTTTGATGGTATAAAGTATGATTGTTCTGAAATAGATTTTATTGCCGTGTACTTAGAAAATGACTTAAATAAAGCTACGGATATATTAATTCGCCAAATCTCTACTGTAGTAATGAAAAATACAATCACATATAAAATTTCTAGGAATAAACGTAAAATAAAACCGTGGATGACCACTGGTTTACTACGTTGCATAAAGACCAGAGATAAAATGCATATTAAATTAAAACGGAATCCAGAAAATGATATATTGTGCATATCTTACAAAAGGTACAGAAACTATTGCAACAGCTTATTAAAAAAAATTAAAAGGCAGTATGAAAAAGATGAAATGATTAAATCAAAAAATAATAATAAAAGAATGTGGCAAACTATAAAAACAATAACTAACTTAGCACATCAAAAATCAAACTGTAATGAATTATTAAATATTAGGAATAGTGCACAAGAATCAGTGAACTATGTTAATGACTTTTTTGCAAATGTAGGAAGAAACATAGCGGAAGCTATTCCAAAAACCATGATAAAATCTTTTCCAAGTATTGATTATCATAGATCATTAAACTCTTTTGCTTTTACAGAAACTACAAGTGAAGAGATAACAACTATCATCATGAACTTAAAATCTGACTGTTCGCCTGGCATTGACTTCATTCCTGCAAAAGTACTTAAAGATAATATAAAAGCAATTGTACCGCCACTCACAGATTTATTAAATCGCTGTTTAAAAATGGGTGTTTTCCCAAATTCTTTAAAGAAATCTGTGGTTCTACCAATATATAAATCAGGGCAAAAGAACTCTATAAACAATTACCGTCCAATTGCTATACAAACCTCATTCTCTAAAGTTTTTGAGCGAGTAATAAATAAACAACTCATAAGTTACCTAGAGTCAAGGAAATTGTTGGCTGATACACAATACGGTGTTAGGGCTGGTAGATCTACTGATGATGCGGTTCATAATAACGTACAAAGAGTTGCGAAGAAACTGGATGAAAACCAAAAGGTAATTACAATATTCCTCGACCTCAAAAAGGCATTCGATACTGTAGCGCTACCTATACTTCTAGACAAACTTGAAAGGATGGGAATTCGTGCAACTCAGCTAGATCTGTTTCGTGATTACCTATCTAATCGTTCACAGATTGTTAAAATTGGTAATAACAGCAGTCGCGAACAACCAGTCTGCTACGGAATTCCTCAGGGGAGTATCACTGGCCCGACTCTATTTTTATGTCATATGAATGATTTGTCTAATTGGAAACTAGAAAATTGTGAAATAACATCCTATGCAGACGACACTGCACTAACTTTTACGACAGATACTTGGGAAAAAGTTTTTAATCTTGCACAGAATGGCTTTGACACCGTTAATAAATGGCTTTCCTCTAACAGTCTGACATTAAATGCAGAGAAAACTAAATACATTTGTTTCTCTATTCGTAATTGTAGCATACCTTCAAATCTAAAGTTATTCGCTCATAAATGTTCAATCCCACCTTTAACAACATGTCAATGCCCAATTATAAACATTACATCGCAGATGAAATATCTCGGCGTAACAATAGACAAAAATCTTAACTTTACAGAACACATACATAACATTTCGCAGAGATTAAGAAAACTTGTATTTGTATTCAAGCAATTAAGACATGTAGCAGATAGAAAGACCATGAAATCTGTTTACATAGCCTTAGCACAGTCTGTGATATCATATTGCTTAACATCATGGGGTGGAGCAGCAAAGTCAAAACTAATCGAGCTCGAAAGAGCACAGAGACTGATCTTAAAGATATGCTTATTTAAACCTAGACTTTATTCAACTACAACTCTATATCAAGATGCTGAAGTCTTGACGGTTAGGCAATTGTTTGTTCTTTTGAGTATTCTTAAGCAACACGCTAACATAAATTATACACCGCTTACCACAACATCCAGAAGACACTTAAATGTATGTATAGTTGAAAGTTCACGCACCTTGTTTGCTAATAGATTTTTTTACATGATAGGGAAAAAATTATACAATTGTGCAAATAAAAAATTTAATATATATCCCAAAAGTAAATATGAAATTAAAAAGATAATAACACAATGGCTCCTCAGCAAATCATATGATGAAACTGAAAAACTTTTTGTAAGTTAAAGTAAAGTAAGTAAGTTAAAAATTTAACGCACAAACACACACACGCAAACACATACACACACACACAAACATAAACACACTATCACACACACATGCACAGTTTTATGATTTCTATTTTAAATTTGTTTCTACCATAAATAAAAATATACATATACCTATTAGGTTTTTATGGAGTGTTTTAAAATTGTATCGAGGGTTGGAGGCCTGAAGCTCTGAAATACAGGTAGACTACTGCCTAGTTTAGACTCCAGTCCCCACAGACACGTTAATGTATTTATATTAATAACCTATGTTTACTATGATCCGTTTGATGTTTGTGGAGAGAAATAAATAAATTATTATTATTATTATTATTATTATTAATTGTAAATAATTAATTTAATACATAAATAATATAATAGTTAGATAATAAAGATAATTTGATAAATATACATCGCAGAGATATCGAAAATTCTGTTATTTATAAATCTGTGTAATTGAATACCTTATTGAAATAATACTTACCTCATTAAACCGTGAAAACTTAGAACTTTTCCGTATTATGATAGTAGTGAATACGTATAGAAACTCATATAACATTTTAAAAATAATAAAAAAACCTGTGTTTTTGAAATAAAAAAATAAATTGACAAGTTTTGTCTTTTAGGCTATAATTACGTCAATATATATTTTAAATAGTATCGCATATTTTGAACCTCACGTCCATCATTTTAATTCACTCATCTTAGCAGTACGCTTAAACGTTTGACCGTGAACCATTATAATGATTTGTTGCATATCACCATAACTTTACGCTATCAGAGGGTCAATATTTACTTTTATCCTTGCAGGTAATAGGTACTCATAGCAGAAGGAACGAAATTGGAGCACAATTCGACTTTAGACATTATTTTGTTTAAATACAATTGGTACATTTTTTCGTAAGCAGTAGGTATATCTACCATTCGACGCTTTTCTACAGGTTAATATTTCTATTAGTAAGAAAAAAACAAAAACGAAACGATGATATAAGGCCGTAAAATGGAATTACGAGTCAGATAAACTGTAGCCGAAATGTTTTCGTAGCGGTACTTACCTACGCACTTCAGTAACAGCTTATTATTATTTATCAATCAATATACGTACATCATTTATTAAGCAGTATAAATACTTTAACTACCTAATTATGCCAAAGTAGTACCTACCTTACAAACAGATTCAACTCTCTTCTACAAGTCAATATTTTCAACAGTAGGGACAAAACAAAAACGAATCAGATGATATAAAGCCGCATAATGGAATTACAAGTCAGATAAACTGTAGCCGAAATAAAGGGTAATGTTTTCGCAACGGTACGCACTTCAGTAACAAATTATCAATCAAAGTTGAAAACAAACCCAGGCGTGGGTGTGCGGGGTACAGTGGGGCGAGGCGGGGACACGAGCGGCGCCAGACTGGCTGGCGGCTGCACACGGATGCATCCTGCGCAGGTGCTCCCGCCTCCCCCCCTCCCCCCGGGCCGTCGCCCCACGGCTTCCTGACGTCACTTCGACACACGATCACCGATACGTGACGCATGACCCGTCCAATTAAACACCCCGAACGCCACGCGCCTACGCACAGAAAAGTTCGCAACAGATAAGTGAGTTCGAAACATACTCGTTAACTTTATTTTGGCGATTAATTCGATACACTTTCTTAGTAATAGATCTTCAGCAAGTTTCCATAATGCTTTTAAAGTTATTAAGTGTATAACTAATCATAATCTCTTCAGTAATTTAAATCATCATTAAAATGTGAAAAATCTTAATGCAATTAACGAGCTAGATTATAAAAAAAGTTTTAATAAGAAATTCTTTTTAGCTTTGTGTTCATTGGGAAATCTGAAAGAAGAAATACTCAAGTATTTAAAATCTTGTTCTTTTACTTTGTTATTTGAAAGGTGATACTTGTTTGGAGAATCAAAGTATTCGTCGGTATGGCCGGAGTACTTTTAGCTCGCAAAATACATAAAGAACACAGCAGAAATAAAATCGCGGAACAGGTTCATTTTTGAGGCGACGCTTGACTTTGGCCGAACAGACAGATGAAGTAAACAACGCCACAAAGGACGGCTGGCAAAGGATTTCATGACGCACTCTTGTTGTTTTATTTGTTGAACAAACTGTCGTCACCTAATAAATCGTGATGGTTATCATGTATAACTTAATCAATACCCATCGTAGTGAAGATAGTAAATGTCGGCTCCTCATTGGGTCCAACTTTAGGAATCGCAGTAATAATTCACATTTCCTAGACTTGACATTGAGACTTTCGAATGAAATACATACATTTATATGTATATGTATACATATAAATGTATGTATTTCATTCGCAATTAAAGATTACACTAACATTGGACAGAATAAGGTTGCACTTCGAAAATCAGAATAAAAATGATCCATAACAGCTCAACCTTTTTACAGCAAAAGTCCATGACAGCAAACCTAAAATTACAATAGTTAATCACAACACTAATAAATTTAAAGAAGTTAAATCTAATGGCATAAAATAATCAAAATTCATAAGTACAAAGCGACTCCCGGCCCGGGAGTCCCGGGCCATCACTCACCACACTCGATTCAAAACTTTAAACCAAGTCCACACCCAGCTGCCTAGCTAGCTAGCTCGCTAGGTAGTGGCAGAAAAATCTTACATATTTTCACCTAATAGACCAGGGTCGATAATTTTTGAGACCAAAAAAAAATATAGTAGGATGAAACCCATTAGAAAAGGTAGAGAATATAACAAAACTGAAAGGAAAAATAAATTACGGGCGATCTGAGGTCGGGAAGGGGGAGGGGGTGAGTTTTTAAGGGTAAAAATGGTTAATCTCGATTTCCGGTAAAACTGCAAGTCCTATGAAAAAAAATTAAATGGCAAAGTTGTAGGTAATAAAAAGATCTACAACTTTTGTAGCGACACTTTTTTCACACAACCTCAAAATTTATGTGAAAAATGCGAATAACCGAGTTTTTGATTTTGATTTTTTGCAAAAAAAAAATATTTTTTCACGAAATTTGGTGAAAACTTACCTTTGTATGTCCTAAACATACAGTATTTTTTTTGATTTAAAACATTCATTTTTATTAATATCGAAAAAGCACCCTTATTTTCAATCAAAAATTCTCATGTCAAAATATCTGCTTTTTTAAAAAAGTTGGGGTGTTTTTTGTTTGTTGAAATCTCTACTTTCTGATGGTATAAAAAATATATACACTACTATGTTAAATGTTCTCAGAAACTGCAAATTAAAAATGAAAAAAACTCCAATCCTAAATTAATAAAAATATTGGTATGGGTTAAAAAATCATCTTCCTCACTTACTGTACCAAAAAATAGTAAGATGTCTCTACGAAATAAAACTAGTTTTACTAGAATACTGGTCTGTATTCTGCAGACCCGAAGAGGCTACGGAACGTCAATAAATAAATAAAGTTTCGTGCATTAACCCGTTAAAACTAGTTTTATTTAATGAGT